AATCAACAAGGCAGGGTTCTGCACCTAAAAACTGGTGTGGTTATTTACAGTAGCTGGCATCTGCCCTCTAAATAAAGATACCTTACTGATATGTCCCTGCATAAAGAAGTGAGTGACAGGTAGGTGATTAAGAGGCATTAAAATGAAAAGAAAAATCTGGCTTCAATTTAATAGGAGCTTCAAATAAAAATAAGAGGTGTCTGAAGTTGACCTGTGTGACTATTCTTCTCTCCCCTCTGACCAAAACAGCTCTGAAAAGTAGGCCACAGCAAAAAGAGGCTACAGTTTCAAAAGGTGAGCGCCTAAAGCTACGTATATACAGCTATTTTCATGCACTTTTAACTGGGTGGCCTGATTTTGAGAAGCTCTAAGTATGCACTGCTCCAACAATGTACATGCTCCATAATGTCCAAAACCCCCAGCCCTGACAATCTGCTTTGGTGCTGAATTGTAGATGCAGTTTTCTACTCAACAACAGATCCACACTTTCTGTTAGAACAATACCTCCACAGCTTGCTTGGCACAGAGACTTGCTGTCTGGCAGTGGTGTTTGTACACCTGGAGAAGAGTTTCTGCCCAAAGCAATGTGGCATCTTGGCAGGCAGAGGAGTGCCAGGATGCACAGGGGTGACACTCCATGTCAAAAATCACACAGCAAGACAGAACCAGCACCAAGCAGAAAACCCCAAGCCCTAAATCAAATGCCTTACTCATTTCATCATACTGAGCTTGCCTCACAGTAACAAAAGATACATGCAGCTGTGAGAGGAGTATTTCTAAGACAGACAGAATCTGATAAAAAGAAATCCAGGGAATAGAGGATACTGTGATCTGTTCTGTAATATCCCTCAAAATGAGAAAGAAGCATATACAGCAGCAACTGGATCTCATATAATAGTAAACAATCAAAAATAAATGATTTTGATTACATGCAGGATGAAAATATTGAAGCTAAAGGGCTGCATACTGTTTAGAGTGTCCTGAGGAAATAGCTCCCATGCTTCAAAAGCAACTGCTAGGAAGAGAGAAACTAAGGAGTTGCAGCTCAGCTTATGCAGGAGTTCTCCTTTTTAGGAGAGCTCCATAAAGACTATTGTCTGTACAAATTTTAGATTTCTAGCTAAATTTAAGAACAACAAAATTTTGAAACAATGGAAGAAAAAGCCAGGAGCAAGTGGTTAAAGAAATTAACTTCAGGGTCTGCAAGTTCAAATGTTATCAGAGAAACCAGTAAGTCACTTGAGACAGAAGAGGAAGCTGAGCAGATAGGAACACTAACTAGACAGCATACTGAGTCAGTAGCATGTTCACTTCGCTTTTCATTTAAGTTCCTTCAATTTGGATTATTACTTGTAAGATACATAGGGAAATTCAAAAGCTTTCAATCTTTAAACAAAAAATGTAATATGAAAAGCTTAGTTAGTGACCAAAGTGATCATCCACTACCATCTTAAGCATAATTTTAAGTGTCCAATTTTGAATTTCAAACCTGAAGGATCACAACTTTTCAACACACATCAGAAAATTTAGTTATTTTCATTAAGTTAGAGCTTTTAAAAGGCTGACACAGTTCCAACCATACAATACCCTGTTAAAAATGAAGTTGTTACTAAATAATGCTCCTAATCTTTCACCAGACATCACTGAAACTGATCAAGAGCTCTTTTATGTAAGAAGCAATTCTTTAGAGATAGGTAAACAAAGCAATACAACTGCTGAGATACTAACTGTGACACCAAAAAAATCTATTCAGTGATTCATTTCAACATACACCTGACAGCTATACAGGACACTAGCTGGAATGCAACCTTTATTTTTTCAAATCTTTTTTTGAAAATATTCAGAAGTACAGGTTGCAGAATAACTAGCTCTTTTAGAGCTTGCACTCAAAATAATGAAGACCAGGAAAAAGAGGAAGTCACAGCTCCAGCCAGACTATTGATTCCAAAATAGAATCCATTAAAATCAATGTTAAAATATCTCTTAAAGGTATTTTTTTCCCAGAAGAGAGTCCTACTTCCTTCCAAGGGAGATACCCCTGTCTATACTGAGTAAAGCAACAGTCCCTGCAAATCACGTCAGGACTGCTAGGAGCATGCTAGCACACCAGGTTCAAGGTGCATCCTGGAGCAGGTTGCTCAGAGAGGTTATGCAGTCTCCATCTGTGGAGAAACACAAAAACCCAACTGGATGTGGACCTGAGGAAGCTGCTGTAGAGATCCTGCTTGGAACAGGGACTTGGACTGCGTGTTCTCAAGAGGCCTTTTCCAACTTCAGTGACTGGGCAAGTCTGTGAACCTTCTATTTCCACAAGGAGTGAGTGGTTGCTGTGTCAGACTAGGACATGGAAAGCCCTGGCTCAACCCCAGGCTTTCCCTCAGACCACTGGTACAGCTGTGGCCCAGCTCTCCTGCACCTCAGTTTCTTTAGCAGCCACAGACTGGCAGCAGAGACAAGGAGTGCCTCAGCCACAAAGTGTCCCAGCAACCATTCCTAGGAGGCTGGATCAAAGTACTTATCACTCAGACACTGGACTCCATGAAGAGCAGGATACAGGACTTTCAGAAAGCCTAACAATGTCCACACACCCAGTCTAGACATTTCAAGTAGGGATTCCCTTTTTCAGGAAGCATGGAGAATTCTCTGGCAAAAGGACAGTGACTTGGACATCTGAAAAATAATTAGAGTTAAAATTAAACTGTTTATAGACCATGGGGCCCTACTGCTGCAGAATGTAGTCACCTCAGCAGAGCACATAGTGACCCTCTCTTTAATCTAACTGGTGCAAATCTTTAGTTGTCCTAAGGTCTACAGGGTTAAAATAAATCTTCAGTGTAAACTGAGGATCATAAATAAAGACTATACTTCATTTATAGTTACTTAAAAACATAATTGAAATAGAGGCAATAATCACTGAAATCCAAAACTGATCTGTAAATAAAAACTGAATTTTCTTTTGAAAGACTTTGAATAGCAGAAGGCTTCTCCTTGCATATAAACTCAACCCTCCTGAATTTACAGCACTCCTTCAGAAGAGACAATCCCTTGCAGTGAACTTAACCCATCACATTAATTTTGTATCCTGTGATAAAGGCTCTCTAGTTACAGTTACAGACTAGGATATTATTTTCTTAGTAGTTACTTCCATAATGAAATTCCAGAACGATAAAGATGTGGCTCCTAAGAGTTCATGCTATTAACAGATGTATTGCTTCTTGTCTGGGTTTTCTAAATGCTCAAGGCCTTGGGATATGAGATGGTAGCTGCAACAGAGAAAACATAACTTAGCAGGTGAAAACAAGGAAGGGGAGAAAACCCCACAGCACTGCCTAGAGTGGTGTAACTTTTCTCTTACTGAAGATCATAATTTGCAGGAATACAGAAGCTGATCTACTTAGGCCAGAACAAGAAGTTAAGACAATTATTCATCTCTCCTGGGATTTCCCTTGCTAAATGCAGAGTTGGTTCAAGGTCTTGGTCATGATATTTCTGATTATGAGCCAGAAATAGGACTGGGGAGGAAAGTGCTGGGGGTAGGGGGACAGAGGGTCAGGGAAAATAATGGTTACCAAACACTGCAGCAGCCAGTGACAACAGCTTAGGCCATTCCTTACTTCATTCCTCAACTTTGTCAACAGCTTCTTTTTGAATTGTCAGTTTTACCTGAATTCAAATTTCCGGGTTTTTTTTCCTCCTTAAGGACTTATTTATTTTTCTCATCAGTTTGACCAAAGCAGGCTGAAATATGCGGAAGACAAACTACTTTCAAAAACTGGATATCCTTCCAAACATATTGTTCTCACAGGGATGACAATAGTACTGATAGCAATTTAAGGAAAAGAAGAAAAAACCAAACTCTACTGAATCTCTCTGCTGTTAGAACAAAATTCCAGTCACTCCCTCAGTGCACAGGTTTCCCTCAGCACCTTTCTCCCACTCACAAACAGCAACAGCTACTCCAAAACAAAATCATTCTGAACTAATTGAGGATTTTCTCCCTAAGAGATTCCAAAAGACAAGAGGGAGTGCTGTGAATTATTAATCTTATTTCTACATAAGAATGGTGGCAGTGTGGCCAGGCAGGTTATATGCAAATAATATGTCCATAAATCCACAACTATAAAAATACAAATTGCTGAGCTTCTTACCTGCCCATCAAGACAGTGATAACACAATCTCAATGGCATTTCCAATAACATCCCATTAGAAAATAGTTCAGAAATGCAATTCCCCCCCATTATAGTCATCTAACATATGAAAGAGTTACTTCACAGCTATTCTAGATTTAAATTCAAAAGCCAATAAATGTTTCAAGAACATGACAGCAGCAGAAGTAAAATGGGAATGAAAGACTAACTTAACCTAACAGCTGCAATGGTTAAAATGAGAAGGTAACAGAACTATTCAGGATGAAAAGGCATGACTCCTAACATAGAATACAACTCAAATGATACCAGTTAAGGGCAATAGCTTATGTCAGGTAACAAGCCAGCACCAGACATGCATTTATGTTCCTCCAACAATTAGCTTGTGCAATAGGCTTCCAGTACTTCTCAAAGATCTTAACCCTAGTTACACTTAAATTTCTTTTGATCCTTTCCAAAACCAATTTTTCTTTCTCCCTCAGTTTCAGGCCTCAGGATTCTTACTACAAGCTGCTGAGTTTGTACAGTCATTTCAATTTACCAGCACACAACAAGAAGACAATGTTTTCCAGAAGATTTCTGAGAGTGCTCACTGTGGTAAATATGCTCCCCATTAAATCCACATCATATTTTTAATCAGCTACAAACCTCCTTCGTGTATATGGAAAAAGAAGAGCACAGGATTCCAGACGGCAATCCTGTGACACAGGAATGCTTCAGTGTTTGTGCTCCCATGGAGAGACAATGCAAAGGGCACAAAACCACTACTTCAAACTTCACATCCAGCCTCCAGAAGGAAGCTATTTTCTTCTCCAGTCACAATAAGAGCCTCCAGGAGCACAGATATTGGCCTACCTTGCATGTATGCCTCTATTCGCCGGATGAGCTCGTACGACTTGGATCGATCCAGGAGTGTACGGATAGCCGGGAGAGGGTCCAGGATAATGGTCTCTGGATGAGCATCAATGTACTCCTGCAAAACAATATACAGGGGGAAAAATGGCATTAGGTTGGCTGAAGAGAGTAGAAAAATAATGACAAGAGAAAATAATGGTGAAGAGAATATATAACGTTAAAAGTCCAGCTTCTCTTCAAGGGGAGCCAAATGGACTTTAGCAACACAAAAAGTCCCCAGACAGCCAAAACACTGACACTTGAATCAAACACAAACATGACAGCTAACTGGTTTAGATGGCAAATTCCTCCTCTAGACTCCATCAGGAGCAAAACCTCTGCTGCAACCACATTAGCTCACAAGGGAGCCAGTGGCAAAGTGCCACAGTAAGAACTGACAGCAAGACTGAGAAAAGCCATTAGGAGAAGAAAGACGGCACACAGCTATCTTGGGGTCAGCCTTGCATTCAATTACTGCATGTGAACATCACAACTAGCTGAACTAGGCTCAGAAATACATCTGTGTTCTTTTATGTTGTTTTTATTGCTGTCTTCTAGCTGGGCTGAAGACAGTGTTAAGGGCTGAATGATAAGGGCTGAAATTTTTTTTGGCAGAGCTGAAGAGATTGCTGCTTCACTGTATCTTCATTGCTTGCTACTTCTCTATGCTCATACTCTCCTTTTCTGACTACAAGAACAAAGTAATGTTAATGACCTCATGGATCTTCAGCTTGGGAACTCAATTCCCTGTTCACTGAGGTCATGACTGCACTACTGCATCTTGGCCAGGAACACACACACAGCTGCCAGGTATCAGCCTTGCAAACCCAACAAAACTCCCTTCTGTTTCTTAGAAGCTGAATTCCTTCATCATCAACCTGGCTCTATAAAGTCAGTTGGAAACACATCTATCTTACTCTACTCAAAATCAGACAAATATATCCAAAGTTAGCGTCTCTCTTTGTTTCACCCAACTTCCCAAAGCCATCCTAATGTTTCCACTTACTTCTTTAAAACCATTAATGCAAAAGCTCCTACAATTAATAGACTTCCATGAAGTTCTACTTCATTTAAATTGATTTTTCCAAGAAGAAAACATACTGCAAAAGATACTCAGAGCATGATGAGATGGCCTCAGGAGATGCACTTTTCTGGAGAGAAAAGAATGGCATAATCTATTCCCAGAAAGTGATTTTGTTCCAGATACTACCTGGGGACGCAGAACCTGTTGCTTCCTGGTGACTACATAGTCTGACCTGATGGCTGCTGAAAGGAGATTATTCATTTGAGGCTGAGAGGATCCAGCATTGGGGTCTAATGAACCTACTGCACCACCCCCAAGACACAAGCAGCTTTCCTTCACAGGGCACAAGGCACCCCTCAGTGGCAATACTTGTGTCTGACATATTTAGTAACCCCTGCAGAACACAAAGAATGAACTTCCCAAAGACATGTTCAACCTTGCTGCCTCATGGGAAAAGGAAGGGACAGCCTTTCACACAGCTGGTCATCAAGACTGCCAAACCTAGCTGCTGTCTCACCCTTGCAATACAGCCTGGATGAAAAGCTTCATCAGCTCAGTGGAGCAGAACGTGGGTTCATTTCCAGTCACTAAACCCCAGAACATGCAGTTTTCATCAGTCTTCTGTACACTAGTACTTCCAGAGTCTAAGGTGGAGCAATCAGCTTTCAAATACAGATGAGATTTTTATTCTTTTCAGAGCTAGAGTATCTTATTACCTAATGCCTCTTAAACACCCACACATGTCTATGCATACGTGCCCTTTTATACAGCAGCTAAAACACCCTGTGGAGCTAGCATGATCCAGTGACTAGGGCATTAGCTTGAACTTGCTGATAGTGAAACTGTACTTGAGTATCTCAACATCTCCAGAGTGTAACAAGGCAGCTTTTAGTCCCTCTGTGCCTCCATTTAAAAGACAGGGAGTTACCACACTGTCTTTCCCAGCACACTGAGAGGATGAGCTCCTTACAGAGAGCCCATACACTGATGGGGGAGGAGGCAAGCACAGCACCCAGACTAACATGTGACAGCTCTGAAAGGTGGCCTCAGCAGAGCTCTGACAGCAAACCTCCTGATGTGTGTACGAGCTCTTCCTTTTACACTGTGGTGACCACCTGTCTGCCTTGACCAGTCTCTGGTTCCACCTGGACCTCAAGCTCCCTGGACTTCCATCCTGGCCCAGCCCCTCCTGTGCATGTACTGATCCTTCCTCTCCCATATACATTCCTCCTGCTTGTGGACTCTTGCCTTTACTGCCCTCCCAGGATGGAATGATTTTTCTGTCTCTCAGCTCCTTGTGTACCTTCCTGAATCTTCCTCATTCTCATCATCATCGAGAACTATCCTTGCTTCCCCAGGACTTATGTATTCTACTTGTTAATTTGGCTCATATTACTCTAATTATTTCCAGAGGGAGCCTGTTTTTTTAATGCTTTCTGCAAGGGGACCTCACAGTGCTTTATTTCTAATGGTAATAGCCCTAAACCAGACTTAAAGATCATCCAAGCACTAAGCTTGCCACAGCATAACAAAGTTTACCAGGAATAAGGAACAAGCTCAAGGCCATTCTACACCAGTCAACATGTCAAGAGAGATGAGCATCTAAGTTGACTCTCCAGTGACTTATTTCTCATCCTGTTGCCTTAAGGAGCCTCCAAAAAGCTCTGTAAGGCAAACAAGAAATAACTGATGAAGATGAGGGAGGTGGGAGCTGTTTTCCAAAAGCCATTTAGAGTCTGAAGAACTTTAACAAATTACTCTAATGTCAAGAAGAACTGCACGAATACAAGGCAACAGCCCCTTCAAACACACACCAAAGGCTTTTGAGCTTTGAGCAGATCAGCTTTCTTTACAAAACTAGGAAATTTCTCAGCATTAAATCTATGTCAGGTACTATTCTCCAATTCTTCTCCATTTCCAGGCCCAGGAACTTGGACAGCCAGAAAGCACAGGAACAGCAAAAGAGCAGTGAAGATCTGTGTCATCTAAGGCAAGACCTCGAACTTGAAGTGTCTCCTAGTGTCATCTGGGGATGAGCCACACATCTCTCCTTTAAACTGAATCCAGAAACAGCCTCTTTTCAAAGAGACTCTCAATGCAGAACAAGGTCAGTGTATTTGTATGTATCCTTTCTGTTTGAACACAGCTAGAGATGAACTGCTGAAGCTGTGCAGGGGCTTCCAGCTTCCCCTTGGGCCTTTAGGCTGCCAGCACTTTCCCAGTCTCCCACACCTCTCACCAGTACATCACCAACACAAGCAAAAGAAAGTTTCAATACCCATGCACAGAAAACTACTTTAAATAAGTAATTAAAAGATCTGAACCTTACACCAATTGTCTACAACAGGAAATTACAATAAGAAAAGTCAATTTTGTTAGTTTCACAGGAACAATTATGGTAGCTGATGTGAAATATTTTATAAACTTTGATTCTTTACTAGAAACTGTTGCACATATCATGTACTACAAGCACACTTAGTTTTCAAAGCCATATACTTTGTCTAGAAGGCAGGAACTGAGGTAGTTTGGTTTTCTCTCTTACCAAGAAGGCAGAACTGCAGCACCACTAAGTTACCTGTGAAGATCACCTGAGACTGGAGAACTCTTGATGCAGCCCAAGTAACAGCACTCTTCCCACAGCACAGAGTGGCTCCGCTACCAGAAATACAGATCTGCATGAACATGTCGGGTTTCTGCCTAATTATTTTGAAAGCAGATGAGCTACTATAGACATGAACTTGAAAATTAAGCAGTTGAAGAAGGAAAAGAGAAGAAACACTGAAGCCAAGAGAGTACAGCACAACCTTTCAACTTTGAACCTTCAAGTCTTCTCTCATCCTTCCTGCAAAACAACTCTGCTCTCTAATTTGGTGGATTTACTGAAGACTGATCTCCAACAGCAGATTCCAACCACCCAGGCAACAATGTGGAAGATATTTAGGCTTTCCACCAATAGATTGAAAAGGATCTGTCCTTGGGCTGCAGTTCAGCTTGACCCAGACAACATCTATATTTTCCTCTTTCTAATCTTTGACATAATAAAAGCAAACAGAACAAACAAGGAATTTTAGAAGATCCTCCTTTGTTTGTATTCCAAGCCTGGTGTTAAGTCATGCTTTGTACCAGCCCCATTACTGGCAGAAGGCCAACAATGAAACTTGAAATCAGAAAGAGACCAAATATTTCATGTTCCCTATTAAATACCTCTGGATATAATCCAGCAATTAAAAATAATACTTTCCTTGAGAAGCCTGTGTATAGATGAGAATAGAGCTGCTTGTCATTTTACCTCAAAAGGTAGCCAATGATTTTTTTTAATATTTTAACAGAACATTGATACAGTATCTACTGCAAATAACGGGTCATTAGATGATAAGAGACTCACTGGTTCGTTGACTTGCTTTTATTACTAAGTAATAAAACTTATATAATGTTTTGTTTAATATTAAACAAAGTTCCATTAAAAATATTCCAGAAGAAAACAAGTAAGAAAAAGAAACAATAATGCCATTTGGATTTGTGTTTTCCCACATACAGAAACATGACAATGACTGCTCGTAAAAACATGTCAACATTTTCCAAGGGAGAAAGCGATGTAAACACAAGCTTGTCTAAAGCATTTGAATCAGATTTAGATTTAAAAGCTCCTTTTAGTTGTCTTAGGCTGTGATGGTCTCTTTTCAAGGACACCTCCTTCCAAAAGGAAAGGTGAAGGTGTATTGGGTCTTCAATACACGCTCACCTCAAAATTGTCTGTCTCTAAATCCAGAAGATTTCTGCAGCGGTTAAGAGGAATGAAGGGTGTGGCAAGGGGAAGGGGGAATTGATCTTCTCTGTTACATCTCTATTCTCTGTATATGTCAAAGAAACTTTCTGAGTATTCAGTTGTCCTGTGAAGCCTTCAGAAGTCCTTTACTCCTTCATCTCGCATATCCTACCCACAGGAAGCTATCCTAACCCTTAGCACTTGATTAACAAATTTTTCGTTAGTTTTGCTGTTTATGAGGCTCTTCCAACAATTTAAGACATCATTATTTTTCAAATGTATAAAACACAGGTATTGGCCTGTGAATTCAGGTGTAAATACACCATTTCAATTTTGTATCAACCTGTCCCTCCAATTAGGAAAGAATTACTAAGATGTAATAGTTTCCTTTGGTTTTTTGCTTGCCTCTTGTCAGCTGAGAAGTCTCCCCCTCCTTCCCTTCCAAAATATCTCCCTCATTTTCCTTCCTCTTAGTCCCAAACCCTTCTAAGAAAGCTTCTCAATCAAGATTAGAAGAGTCCATCCTGGGCAACTCCAGAGTGGGAGAGTCAAGAGTTCAAGGGCAGTACGGGAGGAAATACTTTAAATTTTCATCAACCTGATAGCAAAAGACTAGGCATAAAAACTGTGTCTGATCTGTCTTTTTAAGCAGGCTAATGCAAAGAGAACCTGCTCAGAAAAAGCTTTGAAAGAAAAATTAATAACCCTATTGATTTTCCATCACTGGAGCCATCATTTTGAATGCAATATGAAGCTGCAATGAATGAAGCCACTCAAGCCCCTGTACAGCTATGACAGGGAGCTGCTCAGAGAGCATTTTGCTCTAATGAAAGACTAACAAAGATTCCCCAATGTCTTACAGGAGCCAAAACATACTCAGTTTTCAAAGCCATACACTTTGTCTAGAAGGCAGGAACTGGGGTAGCTGGTTTTCTTCCTTACCAAGAAGGCAGAACTGGAGCAGCAGTAAGTGAAAGGCACCCTGGGGACTTTGCCTCTTCACCTGACCTCCTCCATGTACCTCTGGTCAAGAAGGAACCACTGAGGACTATAACCAATTTTCACAGTTAATTACCTGTGTTCAATCAGTCCAGCCCTGTGTTACAGTGGGTAGGAAGGGAGACTGACCATCATCTCTACAAATAATCATCATCCTCCCAAATAAGGATTTAAGTGTCCTTAAAATGAAATAACAACATTTCTCCACTTTTCATCTCGTGCACTACACTAGGTGTTGCATGCAGTCTTTGTTTTGGCTTTGGATGAGATCACCAGGCAATCATCACTGATTTTCAGGGCAGTGGAGAACAGCTGCACCCACCAGTATTCTCCTGAGAAACTGCACTCCATACCACATCCAACCAGCACAAAGACCTCAAACAGCTCAGCCCTAAAGGTTTTCTGGGGCTAAAAATGCCACTGTCAACAGGCAACTCCTCCATACCATTTTCATTCTCCTGTCATTTTTTTTCCACGGCAATTGAAAACAGTCAGAAAATGGCATGCCAAGAGGCTTCCTGTTCTATTAGCACTCTCAGCCAGACCTACAAGGGCTCATTGCAGACTCCAGAGAGCAGGGACACAGAGTCATGTAAACATGAAGTCAGTTTCCTCCTCAGCTCTTTGCAGATTAGATGGTCAAGGCCTCTATAACATAGATCTGAAAAAAGTCATTCTTAAAAAGGTCATAAATGTAGTCTGGCAGATCATTCCTGCTCCTGTGGTCAAGGATCCCCTGCTCTCTGCTTCCTGGAAGACTGCTTTATGGAGCCAACAGTAAGACTGCTGCCAGGTATCATCTTGCTGTCACATTTATATTCAATAGCAGGAAAAAAAGCATAATGAATTTTGCACTGTTTGGTCTGGTTAAGATCATCACAACTTTTTCTGTCAACTTAGTCAACAATAAGGGAACCACACTATTTCCACTTGTGTGTAGGTGCCAGAAATACCACAGTGCTTATATAACACCTCACTCATACAAACAGCTTTCTTGCAAGGGGACATTTTTCATTTTCTAGGTCACTCATTGATTTTAAGAGCCCAAAACAACCCTATACCACACACTTTAGTATAAAATATTCTTAAAATTTCTTCTTCCTATGGAATATACTTCTCTTAATTTCTAATGATTTTCAATATCTTAAAAGTAATACAGGACAGATGGAGACAGGCAGCAATTTGCAGTTAGTTTCTGCCCTGGAGATGAAACTACATGAGAGTAAACTCTAAAAACACATTTTGGCATGTAATTCAACACAGAAGGGCCTATGCTCTGCACCACTGGTTCCTGGTTATGTTTTACTACTGTGGGAGCTTCCTGCATGCCAGTGATGTGGCACAACTCAGTCTCCTGCAGAAGCAAAAGCTTAAGGCCTTACTTTATTGGAGAGAGGATATTATTCAGATGTCTGCTCACAGGGGCCCTACCCTCTATCTCATCCTGTCTTCCAAAATAAAAAAGCCTGGAAGGCACTGGGAGAGAATCTTTTAAGACACTTCTTGGGGAAAACAGTTCTCTGTACCACACATCCTGCATATTTTTGACCTTCAATGTAAAGTTGCGGGGAAAAAAAAATATAAGAGGATTTTCAGCAATGGAGGACAGAGTCACTCACAGTAATCCTGATGTTGCAGAAATTAGCATTCCAGGAACTGGGAAGACTAGACAGAGCTGGGCCAAACTAATTCAGTGGCTTCTGTCATGGAGGGATGCAAACACATGTTCCTCTTTGTGAGCAGCACTAATACTCTTGAAATGACATAAGAACATTTGGTGGGAAACCAGTTCTAACTAACCATACTGACCCAAAACAAAACCTTCCCAAGGTGCAAATCCATTTTAAACTAACCACTTTTGCTGGGCTATCAGCAGCAAGTCAACAGTGTGCCAGACAGCTCTTTTCACCAAACTCCTACAAACTGCACTGTAATCAGACTGCATTTGCTGCACCAAAATCATGCTCGTGCTTGAAATGCAGAAAGAACCACTTACCTGGAACCTCTGAACCAACTCCAGTGACTGGCTGTCATTCTGGTCTGCTTCAAGGATTACATCTGTCAGTTTATGTATGATCACATCCAAAGGGCCCTGATCTTCAATGGGTTTGGTGAGGTCAAGCTGAAAAAAACAGAGAGAAACATTTCATTAATATATGGGGGATCCAAGCTCTTGTCCCTGCCACCATCCAAGGTGCTGCTGCCACACAGATAACATTTACTTTACATAGTGCCTTTGTTTTGGTATGTTATCCAAATCTCTGAGAATTTACACATCACTGAATGTCAGAAAACTTTACTCAGACACTTATTTCTCAGCAGTGCAGCTCTAATTCCATGAAAAACAGCAAAGTCATCAGCAAGTACCCTTCATCCATACATCTCCCTGTGCTTCTCCACCCTAAACCAACATATGGCTCTTCAGCTCAGTTTTCTGGTATGGTCACACAGCTTCCTGGTACATTCACATACATGCAAAAGGAATGAGCCAACAAGGATTAACACCACTAACAAAAGGAAGGTCTGCTGCGCCCACTGGAATTGCACAAAACAGCACCCAGGAGAGGAATAAAGGTAACACAAAAGCAAGTGAGTCAGGATCTGTGGAAATTCATCTGCTACTGAGACAGCTACTTAGCTGCTACCAGGAGGGGTGCAGCTCCCAGACAACTCCCAGTAGCAACTTTGGCAGTTAGCTGGGTAGGAGACAAAGATTTGGGGTGAGGTGTGCAGAAATTCTGCTCCAGACAGCACAGGAAGGCATGAAAACAGTGGCAATGTGTTAGAGGGCTTGGTCCCAGCACCAAAACAGGGTTCAAGAGCAGAGGAGCCACCTGCACTGGAAAAGGATTGAGGAATTCTCTCTTGATGAAATATCAATGCAAAGAAGCTTACTGTATGAGATGCATGCAAGGATCCTAAGAGAGCTGGCCAGTGTTATTGTGAGGGTTTGGATTTATCAGGATATAAATCAAAACTATGGAGATGATGACTAAATCAGGCAAAAAAAAAAAAAAAACCAAAACCAACCACAAGGGCAGTGTGGTTGCAGCAGAGTCCCACAGAGGTGGCAGGATCTCCATTTGTCAAGATGTTCAATACCTGACTGGGCAAAGCCCTAAGCAAGTTAGTCTAAATTTAATGCCAAATCTGCTTTGATGAAGATGATGCATTGCAGACCCCCAAGATGCTCACAGGACTTGATGATCCCATGAAGCTGCTCACCAGATTTAACATTAGTTCAGTGTAAGTCAGAACTGGCTCATGTTCAACACACGAGGCTGCTCACAGCACAAAAGCTGTGAGAGTCAATTCAACCAGTTGTGAGACCTACTGCATCAATGACAACTTAACCTTGTAAATGCCAAACCAGGAACGTCTTTGAGAGGAAAGATGGATGTGTGCTCACTAAAGTTAGCATCTAATTTTATCTGCATAATCCCTTCTATTCCTGCTTTCTTTTGTATTCAGCTTTGGTGAAGAAGGGTGTGAGAGGCACAGGAGGGAGAGGAGTACTGGGCTGCTGCTGATGCTGTTTTCTGTCTCATTAGCTTGAGTTTTGTCCTACTAAAATTTCCCACCCTACAGAAATGGCCCTGCTTTGAACTAAGGAGTGAATGCTTAAAGAAGGTAAAGCTATAAGACAGGATCAAATGAAGAAAACCAAACCAGCAGAGATCTGTCAGCCTTATATTAATTTCCTAGTTGCTAATGTAACCAACCACAGAGCTGAATGACTTGTCTTGCGCCAGGCACTCTTATCTGGGCCAGGCTTCCCTGAGCAGAATAACTGAAGGTACCTGTGGCACAAAAGCAAATTGAAAGACTGCCAATTCCTCCCTCAGAGACCACCCTTGCTTGCCCATTACTGTATGCTCCTACTAACAGTTTTGGATTAGGGCTCTCTGAAGTCCTAATGCAGATTCCAATCCAGCTGGAAAACACAGTGTGTGTCTCTCTTCCAAGGAGACAAACAGAGGCACTGCTCACAGGTGGGCAGCCACTCCTACAAGCCAAGAGACCAGCAGGGCAGACAGTGTGTGGGTAAGCTGTGGCCAGGTGAGGCAGGCCACAGGAGGTCTGGCTGCCCTGACATATTTTCACTCTCACAAGAAGTGCAGCACAAGGGCCAGGGGACAGCCTAAGTAACTGCAAAATGAAGTGAACTGCAGCTTGGCTAAAGAACATGGAAGGAGATAATTAACTTCTTCAAGCAAGTTCCAGAAAAATCAGTTAATATCCTTAAAAGAAATCTCAGATGACTAAACTGCTGCTTCTGATTTTTTTCCATCGGCCTATCACATCTGGAAGGAAACAGCAAAACAAAGAGTCCATTTAACTAGGTCAGAAAGTTCATGGTTGCCAAGGTACTAAATTCTGAATTAATCCATTTTCTGGACTTGCAGTTTGAAAAGCAGTAAGAAGCAAGCAAGCATTTGAGATTGGTTACCCCTCTACATTCTTCCTGAACTTTCAGCTCAATCTGCACGGAAACATTCAGAAAACAAGAACAGTCCTCTCTTTCAGCCTTGACCCCAGAATAGAAATAAGCCTTCAAGGCAAATCCAGGCATTTCCAGCACAGTGTTTTCCACAAGCATAAGACATCTGGGCAAGATAGCTTCTTCACAATAGTTGTGCCAGCTAAACACAACAGGTATATTTTGAGAACAGAACCAAATGCAGGTACTTTGCACACTGGAAAGCATTAAAAGGCTCCCCCTAACACTGTTTTGCTTCCCCTTCACCAGTAAAGCAATGTTTGAAAGGACAGCATGATAAAGCAGCTTCTCTGGAAGGAAGTTCAGTGACCACTTCAATTGCCTCAAAAAGGACAGCAGGTACATTTTAACCACAAAAACCTTCAAAATTTGATCCAGTATTTTGTGGACTGGATGATCAAACCATTTGCAAGAATAAGTTCTCTGTGTTTAGACCCATGCTGTAGAAAGCAAATATTCCTGGGCTGTGTGGAATTTGGAAGAGATCCACCTTCCTTTTATGCACTAAGAAAAAAAAGTAAAAGTAGAAGGAAAAAAATGATTTGAGAAGGTAAAAAGAAGCCTTTTCAAAGTGGGAGTATCAAACCCAAAAAGAAGTCAGTGAAAGCAAAGTGCAAAATTTCTGATGGCCCTCTGCTGAGACCAACACTGATTCATTGTTTGTCATCAGCTGGAATCTGAGCTCTCCTACTTCCCTTCCCTTTCAGCATCTCTCTGAATGATCTCTGCATTTGACATGGTGACCCAAAGGTTTGTTATTGCAAAGAACCTACACCATAGCAACAGAAGTGAGGGAAAAGATTTATCAGCACCAGCTTGAAAAACCAGAGATATTTCTATGGTGCCTTTTCTTCTGTGAGGTAGGCTTTAGCCTGCAGCATACTCTGCTTGCCCTTCTTTATGTTAAAAAACCAATCCCAACCAGGTATTGGTTTAATGGCATTGTCACTTATCACCAAAACCCAGCAAAACTCAGGTGCATGACATGGAAGTGAACATCAATGCTGTACACAGGAAATAAACAAGGCATACATTTGACATGGATGGGTGCACTGTCTCTGGGTAAAAAACTGCCTGGATGGCCAGGCCCAGAGAGTGCTGGAGAATGGAGATAAATCTACAGGGCAGCTGGTCACACCTGGTGCTCACCAGGGCTCAGTCCCGGGGCCAGGGCTGCTCAATGTCATTAGCAATGATCTGGACAAGGGCATCAAGTGAACCCTCAGTGAGTTTGCAATTCAAACCAAGCTGGGCAGGAGTGTTGATCTGCTGGAGGGTAGAAAGACTCTGCAGGGGGATCTGGACAGGCTGGATCCATGGGCTGAGACCCAGCTGTATCAGGTCAACAAAGCCAAGTGCCAGTTCTGCCCTTGGGTCACTCACAACAACCCCACACAACACCACAGGCTGGGGCAGAGTGGCTGCAAAGCTGCCTGGTGCAAAAGGAGCTGGGGGTGCCCTCTGACAGCAGCTGCACACGAGCCAGCTGTGCCCAGGGGGCCAAGAAGGCCAATGGCATCCTGGCCTGTGCCAGCCATGGTGTGGCCAGCAGGACCAGGGCAGGGATTGTCCCCATGATTGTCAGCACTGCTGAGGCCACACCTCGAATGCTGTGTTCAGCTCTGGGGCCCTCATGACGAGAAAGTCACTGAGGTGTTGAAACATTTCCAGAGAAGGGCAACAGAGCTGGGGAAGGGTCCAGAACATGCTTCTGATGAGGAGTGGCTGAGGGGGTGTTTAGCCTGCAGAAAAGGAGGCTAAGGGGGGACCATATTGCTCTCTACAACCACCTGAAAGGAGGCTGTAGCCAGGGGGGAGTTGGTCTCTTCTCCCAAGTAACAGTAATAAGACATGGGGAAATGTTGTAAAATGGCACTAGGGGATATTTAGATTGGATACACTGAAAGAAGTCCATCATTAGAACAGGTTACCCCAGGAAGTGGCTGAGTCACCATCCCTGGAGATGTTTAAAAGACATGTAAATGTGGCACTTGGGATCAGGTTCATTGGTGGACTTGGCAGTGCTGGGTTAACAGCTGGACTTGATCCAACCTAAATGATTACATGGTTCTGTATGCCTTTCCAGGTCTTTCAAATCCATATAAGGAAGAAACCAAGCAGTAGATAAATGCCCTTTATCATAGCTGGCTGCAGCCAGCCTGCCCACCTTTTAATAGAAGGATGGGCTGGAAGTTACAAAACACTCCAAGCTCAGAAATGACAGTCTCTCCCACAGGCTTCCCAGAGAATCCACTGGAGAGCAAGTTACAGGCACGCAGAGCTCTGTCTGCCCTCCTCTCCCCTCCACTCTTCCTCTGTCCTCCAGGAACACACAGCCAGCACATTATCCAAATCATTATAGAGAAGGGCAAAAAATGTTTATTTCCATTAAACATAATTTGTTTAAAGTTTTGGGGTTGTTTTTCTCCAGAACCCTGGCAATCCATCTGTATTGCAGGGACAGGGTGAGTGCCTGGCAGAGTGCCATGGCTCTCCACTGGTCCCAACTGCAATCCCACACAAATGCATTTCTGGAAGCTGTGTTTAAAAATAAAACTATGTCCAAGTGGAGAAAATCTGGATTTGTTCACTCAGGGGAAAAAAACCAAGCCAAACAACTA